TTGTGTGCGGGGGGAGGGCAGGGCTTCATCTGGAGCTCAACACAGCTGGGCTACCTTGAGTTGTCCAGCCTCACACCGCCCATTAGTAATCGCTGATACGTGTTGTTACACATCTGAAGCAACGGATGTCGCAAAGTGATTCATAAGCAGTTATAATATTGTCCTTAATACCTTTATGTAGACATTCTACAATACATTTAGGTGCATTGCAAAACACTGTGACAGTAACACTGAGGGAAGCAGGGGTTACTGGAGGACGTTGCTTTTTACAGAGTAAGTGTAAAGGTTAGGTAGTATCTGATTATTTGCAGTATTGATTACTCTATTGATCATTCATTAGGCTCAGTTGACCCCACACGAGTGTCTTAAAATTGCTTTATCTTGCAGCCTAAATATCCAATAATCTAATCTAAACCTTGTGAAGCCGTTGGCATGTTTGATGTTTTAACTTTTACTCGTTGCTGTTAAAACTGACCAGTTTATGATAATAAAATGAGGAATTATTTAAGGTTTTGAATCGTTTTTGTTGTAGCAATCTGTTGTGCGAGTGGTAGTATTTGTCTGCCGGGCAGAAGTCTATCCAACACTGTATGGGTTGGTTACAATATTAATTAGGAGCTCCTTCATAGAGGCGCAACCACATTCAAGTTGAGCTAGTTAGCAAGTTGGCTTTACTACGAGGATACTTTAAGTTGTACAAATACACACACCCTTTTCCTTGTGGTTAGCGTGCAGCTTTGGTCAAGATCCACAGTACAGTTTGGGAGTAAATGTGTCGGGCGTGCTCTCATACCAGGAAGTTCACTCGGTGTGTTGCTCTCAGATACTCGAGCATGTAAGATAAGACGTGTTCATTCATCAGTTATCAGTCTAAAGCGTCACTAGAGAATACAGTAGACAGTATTGGACTCATTAGTTTTATGGCGGTCATAAAACCAAACAGGTTACTCGTGTTTACAGTCAGGGTTTGGAAATTCCCTTTTTGTTTTTCAATATTTCCAGAAGGTAGCCAGTCACCAGATGACCCGTCATCTGACTGCTGTGTTGTGTAACGTCTGTGAAGCGCTGACTGACTCTGTGTGTTTGTCTGATGCCAGGATTCATTTATTAGACCGCCAACAAAGTGTTTGAATTGTTGTGGAGGAATTAATAGTGTGTCATGTTTTGTCCTTTTTGGTGTTCTTTCATTATTAATCATGTTCTTTTGTTTCGTTTAGAAGGGAAACCAAAGGCACGTCTGTACTGTAGATGCACCATCATCTGGTGATGACATAACACAAATAGAACTGACGTGGAGGAGATGGTCGAATGGAAATGTTGAAGCGCTTCAGATGTATTGTCAAGTTTAATCATCCAGGAAATGGCGACAGAATATGAAAATACACATTCAAAACAGCTTCTACAGTTGTGTGTGGATGTTTTGTTTTTGTGTTGAGTGTGTAAAGCAGATGCACTCTGCCTCCAGTGGCCAATGGCTCCTGGGCTCGGGGCCAGCCCTCGGAAAGGCAGCGCTAATGACTGTCGCACAGAGGCCAAATGTCTCACAGCGACGCAGGGAGAAGCTGGCGAGACTCGGTTCACTTGATCTCACAACACCGCGTTCAGGAATGAATCCAAGCAGCCGGTCGTAGGTGGCCCGCACACACACACACGAGCATCCCTGCTTTTCTATGAAGATGTCCTTGCTGGTGCCTCAGTTGTGGCAGTTACTTAAACTTTTTATTTTTTTGTTACCTGTTTGCTTGTTTTCACTGAGCGTTGTCGGGCTCTCATACCTTGTGATGGTCTGCTGAAGTGCTCCATGATTGCCTTCCAGCCAGCGACGCATTGAAAAGCTGTCGATGCTCTTACTTTAATTCATTTAGACCAGGAGCCGGTACTTTATGGGCAGCGGGCTGCATTCAGAGGTGAGCTCTCTTTCTCGCTCTCTCTCTCTCTCTCGCTCTCTCCACGCTGTAAGCTATTGGCTACTCGCCCAGGTCTGCAACACTAAGGAACTGAGGAGCTGAAGTGGGCACTTTTAGCGCAGCTCCACTCTCCACTGAGCACAGGGCCAAGGACAAAAGGTTTGTGAGTGTGTGTGTGTGTGTGTGTGTGTTTGTACACACTCCTGGAGCATGTACACGCAAAGCATCCTTTTGAGTCGGCTTCAGGAACCACAGGCTGCAGTGGGTTCATCGTCCGCCGCAGGCATGTACTGTACATACAAAGGTGTGTGTGTGTGTACTCATAATACATCCTTTTAATTGGTCGACAGAATATCGGTTGTACAGTAGCTGTTCGTCATGTGTCGTGCTTACGAGGGATAATAACGAGATAGTTCAGATAAGATGATTGCGAGGCTGATCGCTCCAATGAAAAGCTCGTTCCTCAGCTGCTGCAGACATAAATGAAATTGCGACGCCTGCACTCCACCGAGAAGCATCCGTGCGGTTGATAGTGTGGCTTTGCTCTCTCGCGTGAGACGAAAGAGGGCCTGACAGTTATGAAAATGGCCACAGGGAACAACCTGTCATCAGACACGACGTGTTGACACTTGCTGCCGCCGTCGTCGTCGCGATGTTTGCGGCCCTCGGATAGGCCGGCCTCTGGAGGGCTAAGCATGGTGTGAACGAGTGCCATCAATGCTGGCATGGGGACCGGCGCTTACTTCACCCACAGTCAGCTGAACCGGGGATGTGTCGTAGTGTGAGGACACAGCACATGGTCGTGTGGGGATGGATGGAATATTTTCAGGGCATAGTAATTCATGTTTTCAGGAAATATATTTACTCAGTGACTGATACTGCTAATGTTTAAGGTTATGAACACTTATAATATTGCATAACTACCGGGGGGGGATGAAAGACGAAGCAAAACAAAGAGCCGGGTGCTGATTTCCCAGTGTTTGTGTGTCTTGATGAAAAAGGTGTTTTCCTCGTTTCGCTTATTGTTGTCGTTGGCAGACTGAGTTTCCTCCTCACACAGCGGGTCCTGGTTTGTGTTGGAGTGAATGCAATGCTAATGGCTCCTCACATGAAGCATCAGGACTTCTGCTTTCTGCTGCCCTGGGCACTCACACACACACACACACACACACACACACACACACACACACACACACACACACACACTCTCACACACACACACACTCTAAGGCTCAAATATAGTTTGACATTATAACAAGCAACTATGCTACGTCTACAAATAGATGCGGCTACATGTCTGCATACACACAGCCAGCGGCAAGGACACACAAAGACACCCAGAGAGCCCCTGCTGTCGTCTTCCTCCTTACCTCCTTACCTTAGGGAGGAGCGATGATGAGAGGTGAGGACAGTGTGCTGGGAGGTGTTCTAAGAGGTTCCCCCGGGTTCTGAGGATTCGCCTGGTTTGAAATGGTTTAATGGAGTTGAACTAAGGGCAATTAGCAGGACACAGGCCAGCCAACCGGCAGTCGTACTTCATCAGTGGAATTAAAACGTCATATTGACTGTGAGGTTGTGTTTTTTTCCCCCCATGCCCTAATGTGAAAACATGGAAGGATTATCAGAATATGTTTTTCATGGGGAAAAATATAGGCTGGTTCCGCAGGGAGTCTAGACATTTTACAAAAAGAATGCCACAAATCAATCTTAGCAGCTTTAGATTTGGGCATTGTTCTCTCTCTCTCTCTGACTAAAATATAATAACAAGGGACACATGTGACCAGATCCACAAGCCCCCCCCGGCGGTCATTTTGCAGGCAACATCTTTGCCCCGGCCATCAATGCGAAGAGCATCGCAGGAGTCCAGCTCTCGGTGCCACACCGCCCGACAATTCCCACATCACCATCTCCGTGTTGGCGTTCACACATGAGCAGTTTGAGTGACGGTGACATTTATGGGCTTGTCCAGACAGCGGCCCCATCCGTCCCTCGAGGCCGTCCCTCTCCAATAACCCCTTTGCTCTCTGGAGGTATCCAACTGTGTGGCCCTAATATACCCACTGTCAATAAGTTAGATTGACTGAACTGCAGGCCCACAGAATGAACTGTGTAGAAGTCAATCCATTATGTGTAGGAGCAGGAAATGATAGATAAAACGCTTCAAAACATTCTAAACTGGATTTATTCTCCTCTCCTCACATGTTCATCCTGCACCACAGAAGTCCTGTAATAGATGTTGATGGTTGCTTTCATATTGTGAGTGTGGATGATTTGCCAGAATGATCCTCGTTCATTAGGAAAGGATTGACCCGACCCTTAAGTTGCCCCCATCTACCCTGCATTTACTGAGTCAAAGGGGAGAGAAGCGCTCATGTGAAGTGGAGGAGATCCCTCGTGTTTTTGCCATTCTAATAACTGTCAGTCAGGAGGACCGACGGGAACGCTGTTCTTGGTATTCAGCCTCCTCTCCTGTAGCTCCTCCTCTCTATGTGCTTGTCTCCCTGACTCTAATCATGTGGCCATTGTGTATGGATTTACTGCCCTCCGAGCCCCCCAGGAGGGAGATTTGATTTTTCCCCCTGCACTGGCTAATCGTTCCCTCTCACATTCTATTATTCTTTTCTAATTCTGCCCGTCTCTCCTCCTCTTGCAGTCTCCGATATTTTTCCGCTGTGCTCTCTTCCTTTTTGAGATAATCCCCCTCAGTTGACTGGGAGCATTTATTCGTTCTCTGGCTTCCTCAGGTTGGCGTCTCACTTCCTTTTAAACATGGCACAGCATATTAGTGAATGATTTGAACAGTGCGTTATTGGTAAGCGATTACAGTTACATGGCAGAATGTATTGCTGACTCATGTGGTTGCTGAATTTGTTTTTGAGCCATTGTTTTCTGTTTTCCAGCCACTCTCACTCTCCCGGCTCCATGGCAGCAGCGGTGCGAGGGGGCGACTGGTCGTGTGGACGCTGCACCTTCCTGAATGCCGGGGCAACGCCTCGCTGCTCCATCTGCGAGGCGCCGCGCCAGAAACCCGACCTCAACCAGATCCTCCGGCTGAGCAGCAACGAGGAGCACCGCTGGGCCTGTCCCCGCTGTACCCTCAACAACCCTCAGGCATCTGGAGCCTGCACCGTCTGCGGCTTCGGGCCGTCCGCGCCCACGCACACGCCCCCCACAACCACCATAGCTGCTACTGCCAACGGGCTCCCGCCGGCCCCGGTCGAACCCTCGGCACCCCCCGTCGCCCCGCAGGTTCTGCTCGAGCCCCAAGGACAGCACCCAGCCAAGGAGGAGGTGCTGCGACGGTCCGAGAGCAACGGGGAGGTGTGCGGCCTGGAGGTGCAGCACTCGGGCTGGGCGTGCCCGCGCTGCACGCTTCACAACACGCCTGTTGCGCTGTCGTGCTCGGCCTGCGGTGGGCCCAGGAAACTGTCTTTACCTAAAATCCCCCCCGAGGCACTGGTGGTCCCCGAGGTGCACACTCCCGTGCTGGGGTTTCCCGTTCACACTGCAGGGGCTGCCCCGCTCCTCATAGACCTGACGGACGACTCTCCTCCCGCCCCTCCTTGTGATCCACAAGAGCCTCCGCATGTCCCCTCGCAGTCCCTCTCCTCCCCCTTTGCTTCCTTCTCCTCCCTCCAAAACAACCCCGTGCCTCGCAGCAGGAGAGAGGTGCCCCCTCCGGGGCGACCTCCGAACCCGGGCGCCAACACCCCCAGCCCCACCTCCCCTTCAGCAGCCAGCGTGCCACCCCAGCCGGGCCCACAGCGGCCGGCCAAGCCCAAACACGCCCAACCCCAGGAACCTTCTTACCCCAGCAAGCGCCTCAGTATCTTGGAGGAAGACGTTCCTCTGCACCACCCTCTGACCCCCCACCTCCCCGTTGCCTCCTCAGCCGCCCCCACCTGGAAGTGCCCCGGCTGCTCGTTGCCCAACACCGGGAGTTCATCGAAGTGCGACACCTGCCGCTCGTCACGGGCCGGCGCCGACCTCATTGACCTGGTGGGCTGCGAGACGGTGCGATTCACCCCAGCCAGCCCCTCCAGCCCGGACTTTAGCACGTGGGCCTGCTCCAAGTGCACGCTGCGCAACCCCACGGGGGCACCCAAGTGCTCGGCCTGCGGCTCTTCCAAGCTGCATGGCTTTCAGGAGCATCAGGTGGCGCTGCCCCGCTGCTGTGCACACTGCGGCGGCGGCGCCGCATCGTGCTCCTGCACGCCCTCCTCGTCCTCCTCGGGTCACAAAGCAAGGAAGCAAGCCCGGGGCTACCCTCCCTCCTCCTCTGCTATTGCTTCATCTAGCTCCTCTTCCTCCTCCATCTCGTCGAGCCTTCAGGAGAAGCCGGGGCAGTGGAGCTGCCCGGCTTGTACGCTGCTCAATGACATTAAGGCCAAGAACTGCGCGGCGTGCCACACACCGCAGCAGTACCTCACCCTGCGCAAGGTGGTGAAGCCTCTGAAGAGGCGGGAGAGCATGCATGTGGAGGCCCGTCGGCGAAACGATGAGGGCGAGGCCAAGGAGCTTCTGGAGAACATAGTCACCTTCTGCAGAGAGGTAAGAGAGAAATCTGTTGCAGCTGGCAAACACAACACCGAGATCGTATAAGCTACTTTATCCCTTTTTTTAAAGTTATTTCTTTACATTTTGTTGAGGCTTCCTTGACCCCCCCGAGCAATCTGCTCATTTCGATGTGCGATGCGTCGCAGGGCGCACATTGCCTTTCAGAGCACAGCTCCCCTCATTGTAATTCCTCCTTTTTTTGTTCCGTCTCTGGCATTGTTCCCACTCCCTCAATCTCTCTAATTTCAGAGGAATGCTAATAGGCTGTGTCATCGCCTCTGTTTGCACTCGCTTCGTTAGCTGACTTTTAAACGGCCGGCGGGTTGAATCTTGAAAAGGAGCTGCAGATACAGAGTGTATCATACCGTCAAGCCAAGTCACTCCGCTGCATTCAGATTCAGGATATCAGAAGTGTTTTTCAGAAGTGCAACTCACGTTTCAGTGAGTCCATTGTTTGTTGTCCACTGATTAGACTTACTGTATGAAAGTAGACCTTTCTGTAAATCAGAATGTAATTTCCATTTTAATGTGAACGTCACTGCATCAATTCTGCGAAGTAATTAACTGAGCTTCGTTTGAAACGAGACAGCATACTCCTTTATTTCAATCAATATACATCGTGAAACAGAACATTTTCATTAAGCTGCACGAATGTCAGATGTCACAAAGTTAATTATTAAGTGTTTTTTTTTCTCTTTCGGGAGCAAAACGTAATCACGCTCGTGTAGTTACGGGCTCGTCTGTAGTCGTAACAACCTAAAATAATGATGCGTTTTTTACACACTCGAGCACATCTGCATTTAATCAGCATCAGGATCAAGAAGAGTTTCAGATCAATCGTGGCATTCATGAGCCCTGATTGGTCACAGCTGTTCGGAGACACCGATATGTCTCTAGCAACCGTAATTAAGGAGACTTGATTGGTTCGATGGCGGGCTTCTATTCTCTGAATTGAATTGGTTGTGTTGTGCTCCTTTTACTACAGAGACACGGCACCTCTCACACCATGTTTACAATATCACGAAGTGTGCTTCAGAATGCATTATTAATGGCTCCTTTGGTCTCGTGGCTGCGAGCGTGGGAGGGAAGCTGGCTTGGTCGGTAGGAAGGAAGGACTCCACAGATCCCACCTTCCCCTTTTCCCAATTTAAGATCAACATTTAAGCAAGTCTTTCTTTTACCGTCTTTCGTTTTCACCTACAAGTATTTTAGGCCTCGCTCTCTTGAGCTCTGCCACTCTGCGCTCTTCAAAGTACTTTCCCCGTCTTCATCTCCTTTTTATCCCGTCTCCCTCCAACACATCTATCCTCGCTCGCTCATCCTGTTTTATTTTTATTTATTTTTTTCCTCCTCCAGACTGCTAATATCTGAAAATATGCTTTTCCCCTTGCCACCCACCGCACCCCTTCCACCCCCACCCCACACTCTCCACACAACTGCACTCCTGTGTGTGTGTGTGTGTGTGTGTGTGTGTGTACGTACGTGCTAAGGTGAACACAGGGGCTGGCCTATTTTTAGAAGCAGAGCTGGAGAGGAGAGGAGCAGAAATGATTCCCTTTCCTGTAGCGAACACAATCACTAACGGCATCAAGTGCTGCTGCTCGGTTTTAGGGGTCAGAGAGATGAGCGCGGGGGAGTCGGGGGGGTTTCGAGTCGGTGAGCAAGCAGATCCATCACTGCCGAGGCGCTAACACTGTTGCATGCACCAAAACACCATTATTGAACATTTGGTAATGATTTAAAGCCTTCTGGTTTACCCTGCTACACGGCGTGTTGAGTCTACGAATACAGTGACAGTTTCAGGGTTGCGTTTTTTTTTATTATTATTAGTTTAGCTCAGATTTTCTTTCTAGATTATAGCAGATGGTGTTGCTGATAACGTACACTGTAAACATTACTCAAGAACAACGGTAGAGACCCCAACGAGGGCTGGAGCCGTAGTGTAAGACATACTATTCTCTCTTTGCGGTTTCTTTCTTCTGCCTCCTTGCTCTCTACTCTCCTTGATTGGTTTTCTAAGCGAGGCGTGCATGCGTGCGCGCTTACTCACTGTGCCAGACGAGTAAACGCTCCTAACAGCCATCAGCGCCGCTTGTGAACTGTAAAACCCAGCGTGGCTGAAGCTGGGTCCTCTGTTGCCTCTCCATGCCACCCTCTTGGGGAGCAACAAAAAGATGCTACATGGCAACAGATTGACTTCGATTTGTTTTATTTCCCCTCTTAAGACCGCTCTTTACTTGTTGCTTGAATTTTTGCCACACAGAGGACTTCCCCCCCGTGGTTTAGGTCTTGCATGTTGGATTGTGAGTTCTGACGGCAGCCTGTGTTGTACGTACCAGGCTGTTCTGGGACGCCTTTGTTTCTGGTTTAATATGTGTGGCACTTCTCCAGCTCTATAGTTCCTTGTAAACACATTCTCAGAGATCAATAGGTTGTCTGTAACTCAGATATATCTAGCTACGAGCTGCCGGCTCTGTGTGGTCCGAGAGATGGCAGGAAGGCAGAAGCGGGTTTTTTTTCCTGAGCTCGGCGTCGGAATTGGCTGATCGCTGACTGGTCTGGTTTGCATGCTGGCGTGCGCCCCAGTGATAGAATCAGAGACAGCAGCACCGGGCTCACCGGAGGAGGACAGATGGCTAGACTTATGCCCGACAGACGTCACAACACGGCAACCTGAACGTACGCAAACGATACTCATCCTCCTGTCAGCTTCCCCGTTGGTACTGATGTTATTTCATAAAGGCATATCCCATTTTACATACTCTCCTTCTTCTTCTCTCCTTTTTCTTCTTCTTCCCATTATTAATGCATAGAAGTATAAAGTCAAAAGCTCATAAAACCATTATGCACATATACCACCCAGAGGTGAAAAGGCTAACTGCAGCATGTGCAGGCTGTCCACACCATGCAACAGGATGCTCAGTACCTTCTTGGGATGCTAACATGCTATTGAAGCTAACTTGTACCTATCCATCACAACTAACAGACTTCTTAAATGCATCCTCTTACCTTCCCAAATGATGACGCTACTTTAATACCTCAGATTTGAATGCAGTATACATACTTCTGTGCTTGTTTGGAGCAGTTTAGTCTCTGTATGTGTCCAGGGCCAAAGCTCTCTGTGCTAAATCCACAGTGGCCCCTAAGCCCATACAATAAAAAAAGCCAGCACGAGGGTCACTGATAAGCCCGTGAGCTACAGAATCGGGAAGCTAACATGGAGACCTCGGATGGGTGGGGTGGTGAGGTGATTCTGTCCGGTAGCTAGTGCTGCCTCCAGACCACAGAATTGGATTGTGGGGATGGCGGCTAATCAATTTGCTTCGCTGTGGGCCAGCAGCGGGCCGCCCGCATCACATCCCCCCCCTTCCTGCCCTCGCAACACGACTGGCCCGAGCCCACTTCTCACACCGCAAACAGGAAACCAGATAGGTTTTGTGTGTGTGTGTGTGTGTGTGTGTGTGTGTGTGTGTGTGTGTGTGTGTGTGTACAGGAGAGTTTAAGGCAGGCAGATCGTGTGTCAGATTGAGTGTCTTGATCCCTTAATGTATCCATGCAGTCCGGGTCTTGTGTACAGTAGAGAGGCAGTCACACTATTTCTAAAAGTGTTAAAATCCAGTGTGTTATTTCAAGAGCTTTTTGCTCCGCGGGGGGGGATGTGTCGGAGAGAGCGAAGCGTGTGAAACGTTTGAAAGTGATTTGCATTCGTGTTCTGTATCCTGGCTGCTACACGGCGACACACTTGCACTCCCGCTGTGCAGACGTGTGACACCACTTGTCAGAAGTAATTCCTCCCGCCACGCGACTGAATGCGGGAGGCAGTAGTTTGTCCTTGTTCCACCCCGAATCTAGGGCTCGTGTGGCGGCCTGTAGTGTCCCATATTAATCATCCTCCACCTGCACAATATGTTGTTTTGGAAATGCAGGGAGGAGATTAACAGTTGCTGCTCAAAAGTGTCCTTCAGGCTTGTGTTATGTGTTTGAAAAGCTTTATTTTTGATGTGCTCTCATCAACTCCTTTGGGAATGATTTTAAAGTAAGCTGTTGTCTCCTAACAAGTGACTGTTTTTTTCGAATCTATTTTAAATGTGAGTTCACAGTCGTCTCACCCCCTTTTGTCTCCCTCTCTCACTTTTTTCCTCTCCACCCCCCCTCCCGACGTCTCCCTCTCGTCCCAGAACTCCGTGAACTTCGTGGACGACAGTTTCCCCCCGGGACCTCGCTCCGTGGGCTTCCCCGAGGGCGACAGCGTCCAGCAGCGCATCAAAAAGTGGCTCCGCCCACACGAGATCAACTGCAGCAACTTCAAAGACCGGGGCGTCAAGTGGTCCGTCTTCCGCACGCCGCGGCCCTCCGACATCCTGCAGGGCCTGCTCGGAAACTGCTGGTGAGCTGTCGGAAAAACCGCACGGGACACTAGTCAGCGTAGATAACAATCAGACACATTTACATAAAGATTTTGAAAAAGAAGGAGACACACGAATAGCCAAAGAGCCCCAAAGGAAGAATTTTCATTCCGTTCAGTACCTGAGAAAGGTCAGAGGAATACAAAACAGACAACGGATAGTATTTCATGTCGGGTTCAGATGAAGCTTGCAGAGAGAGGGAGAGGCAGACGGTGACTGAGAGGCAGCGAAACAGTAAGTTAAGAAGCGGAGAGCGATAAACTGAAAAATTGGGAGGCAGGGAAAAATAGAAAAAGAAGGTAAGCATTAAATGAAAGAGGGAGCAGGGCGTAGTTAGACAGATGTACAGATGCACCTGACAAGGAGATTATTCACGCAGATGTGAGTCTGGACACATGCTTTATCTCCCCGTCCTTGTTCTGTGTCCTTTAGGGGGGGCGGTGTGTATATGTGTGTGTGTGTGTGTGTGTGTGTGTGTGTGTGTGTGTGTGTGTGT